AATTAAAAAAACGAACAATTTTCTGAAGAGGTATAAGTTCACAGAATACTAGGAATCATATTTATCTCTTGTAATGCAATAAGGATGCAGTATAAAGCCAAGTTGAGTACGAAAATAAAAGTCAGCAGCAGATCAGCACTAATTGGAAATGCTTGACTTGCCATCTTAATAATCCTTTTCTCTGCTTTCAACAGCAAAAAGACTAATTTGTGGGTTAATTAAAAAATAAGAACAACATCTGAGTGCAATAATTTTTGGATGAAGTTCTTTATTTTTGTGACCTCAATAAACCACAGAAAAATCGAGTCAAGGATGGAATAGTACTTATGAATGCAACTAAGGGCGTATAAATACAACATTTATATTGAAGTTGAGCTTAAGTATCTATTATTTGTTGGAAAAATTACTGCCTCTTGACTACAATAGACAGGAATACAGCAGTAGGATTGCTCAAAGTCATTATTAACAAGAAATTCAATTTGAAACAACAAATATTTATTATAGTGCTTAGTTATGGATTGAACTATGTCAACTTAAACTATTCAAGTTTCCGCGACATGATTCTGCGAAATTGGTATTTGAAATTTTAATCTGAATCAAATAAATACCGAAGTAGTCTTCACAAGAGGAAATCCGACAAGACTCCCACATGCAAAGGCGAAGGCCTTGCATGTTAACCTAAGCAATCCTACGAATCTACGAAGAACGTCAAAAATGTCAGAGAAACACAGTAAACATATGCAAATCAAATGAAATCTGATAAGTGAATTTCATTTCTGTACTATTTATAAATACGTATCTGCGTGCATTTAGACTTCATGAATTTCATTTTAATAAATTATGCCGTTTGCCGTTCGCCGTTTGCCGTTCGCTTTTCGGTTTCTAAAAATGTTGCGTATTTCTTGGGAATCCTTAAAGCATTCCCATGTCGTCGTCGCAGTTTTTCGATCGCATTCATTAATCTTGACTCAATTCAGCTTCACTTAAGTCAGTCCGTCAAAAAGGTTTAACCAACATGTGACGATATTAAAAGGACTTCGGCAGTATGAAACAAAATGAACCAAAACCCATACTCCCCGAAAACGCGACCAAGAGAAAGTATAGAGAAAAAGCCAAAAAATTAAAAAAAAAAATAATAATAAATAAATAAAATAATTTGCCAGCAACGCTTAAGCATGGCGGGCATTAACTTAACTTTTGATATATTTTACCATATCCTTTTAACTTTCTCCTTTTTCAGGCTTTTTCTGGCTTTTTCGGGCTGGCTTTCTGAAGTGAAAGGATGCGGCGGCTTTCATTATGAAATGCGAACACGTTTTGCGCGACAAATGCCTTTGCGTAGGCGAACGGCGAACGCCGAACGTTGGCAACTTTCCCATGTTCTTTTTGTTTTTTCCTTTTGGCAATTTTTATTTTATGACGTTGTTGTACGCGCTACAATCAGCATTACAGATAATGGTATTTACATGATATATTAGCATAGTTATCTGCCCTAAATACACATAGGTTAGGCTTTTTATTCATGCCTCTGTGAATTTGATGTGGTCACCTAAAGCAATACTTTCGATTGTATTTAAAATATATTCAGGATCAAATAAAATACAAATTTTTTTATACAGCGCTAAGCGCTAAACGCTAAGCGTTAAGCGCAAAGCAATAAGCGCTAAGCGCTTAGCGTTAAGCGCCAAGAGTTAAAACGCCAAGAGTTAAGCGCTAACGGTTAAGCGTAAAGTGTATGCGTTAAATGTTTAAGTACAATTATAAGTTTTCATTTTTTTGAGGTATGATTAGATTTAAATATTTAAAATATTGTATTTTATTTACATTTAATGAAATTTATTTTATTTTTATTTGTAATCAAATTTAGTTAGCACACTTATGTTGACCAACATTAGCTATAGGCCTAAGTGGATCCCTCTAGAATCGCCAGTATAACCTAACCTAACCTATCAAAAGTATCAAATTTAAATAATCTTTTGAAATGTTGAAAATACTTTAAAAATACCTCGTCGAAAACGTTGTTTTCATAAAATTATATTTGATTAAATTGTATTCTTTCTTAAGGAAGAAATCGGATATATAAAATTCATACACGTGTTTGTTCTTTGACTCTTTTCAAGTCAAAGAACATCACGTAAAATGAGATTTTTCAGGCAAAAACGCTTACCATTGAAATCTGGTCTACAAAATAACCATGTAAATTATTATATGTATAGGTATATATATTTAGGCGTCTATAAATTATTTTTTAACTTGCATTAGGTTTTTCAACTTGATATGAAGTAAGAAAAAGTTAAATTTTTAAAGTTGAAATATAAAAATAAAATACCACTGAGTTGGTTTTAACAACAAGGAAGATGAAGTTGACGAAACCGTTGATAGCCTCACAAAGAAATGAGCCGATACATACCTCACGAAATCCGGGTCTTACAGCAATACTCCACTTACAACATCAAATATGGTTAATTTTCAAAATGATTCAATTTGACGGTACAAATACTTAAGGTTTCTTGGTATAATAGATCAGAACTTGGATTGATGACTAATCTTTTAAATTGATATGAGTTGTGCTTTTAAGAAAAGCGAAAAGAGTAAGGTTGCTAGTAAATGCTAGTAACTAGCACAAAGTTATAAGCTAAGCATTTGAGTTGATAAGTTAAGCATTTGAATTATTATTTGCATCCCAAAACTAAGATATATGTATATGTGGTTGTCACCCTGAATAAAAATTACAGAAAATATGTAATAACTAATTCAACCGACTCTTCAGAACGTTCCGTGAGTTGGATGAAGAAGCCAACTCAGAATTGTGAAGACATAGGTATATCATATCAGAATATAATATGTTATATTAGAAGTGATACGATATATTGAAAGGCATAATATTGCACACAAAATTTGCCTTTAAAAATTTTCGCGCCTTTTAAAATTGCACCTAACCAAACACAATACCAGAACTACAATCTACTACCAGTTGTCGGATACGTCCACATCAAAATAGACTGAATATAATGATGATTTATTTAGAACAAACAAAATTATAAAATTGTCTGGATATCACGCTCATGGACAAAGAAGAACTCAAAGATTTTTTATTGATATTGACAGTAGGTCAACACGTCGTTCATAATATATAAAAGCAATAAAGAATATAATCATATGTTTGAAATAAAATCCGTGCTAGACTTGTCCTCAGCAAACTATAATTTTTTATAAGAAAAGTCACTTTTATACGCACCAGCAGTTAGTTTCCTATTTTGAAGTTAAATAGTTTATATTTTTCTAAAGAACAAGGAAAACATATTAATAAAATTATTTATATGGTAGATACATATGTTATGTGTGTGTGTCTATATATTTATACATTAATAAAAACAAGTTAACGTTAAATGAGCAGATACACATGTATCTAGTATCTTGCATGTATCTAGTATCTTGTATCTAGTAAACAAATAAAAACGAAAATTTCGAAATGAAAAATAAATATCCTCTGAAATTATAATAAATTCGCATGAAACAAAATGAAATAAAAATACAACTAAATTTAAAGAAAACAATTTAAAAATATTTACAAAATCAAGGACGAACCCTTTAAAATAGTTTCTGAATTGCAATGGTTTCTAATAGCAATGGTAAATAAACATCATGTACACGTATTTATTTGCGATCATCACGAGTAAATAATTAGAGCAGTAAGATTCACTAGAAGTCCACGAACGAGGAAAATGTCACCGACCTACTTCTGTTGTTTATCACTGTAAAGAGAAGATATTGCATCGTGACCTCAAAATCTATTGTGTATGTTGCTTGGACTTAGAGGAACTCACTAAATCTCACCTCTTCAACAAAAAGTAGTATTCCTCCTAATCCTCAATATTTTAGTTCATAATCGGATTTTGTGTATCAATCTTCTTCAATCTTCTATCGCTTATGTATTAGAGAAATGCGGCTTCACAGCATATGTTTCGCATCTCTTTCCGCTCTTTGCAGAGCCTGTGAATTCCATCGTGGTAGCTTAACCTACAATGTACTGATCAAATTATGTTCCAATACTCAAATTCCCTATATCTACTTAGATTGTAGGTCCCTTTAAGTATTTTAGAATGTCATTAATAATTATTATTTGTTTATTTATGTATTTATACAACATTGTCTTGGTTCATTGGCCAATGCAATAGAATATTAGATGTCGAATTGTCTCTACCTTATTCCTATTCCAGATAGGGGTTGAAATATTCCCGAGGTAAGGTATACCGGTAGTTAAAATTGGCTAAGTTGGAATTCATTTAGCAACAACCTGTACTATATAACTACGAGTATAAGCAAATGGATTTGCACATGAACATCGAAACAGCAATGAAGTCTGGTACCATGGGATGCAAATGCTTTAGTTGTCCTGAACTCGGAGTGACTTCCTCACGAAGTAGGAAGTTATATCTAAGCATATAGTTATTTCTAGAAAAATTTATTCCAAAGAGGCGTTATCCAGATAATGCGCCGATGAATTAAATCCACACAACAGGTCCCCATGTAAAATAGCTAGAACTCATGTATCTATCGCGGAAAGCTCCAAACAATACTAATTTCAAAGAAAGGTTGAGATGCTAACTCTAGGTGGGATAGAGTTCCTTCTGATTGAAATTCGATAATAACTTTTTTGTTGTTCTGTGCTTCACAAGGAGGTGACAATGAATTTGTACTTCTATCCGCATAGCTCTCTATTATATATTAAACTACGTAGCTTTGAATATATGGTGTAGGGTGTAAATAAATACTTTTATAAGCAGGGATGTTTTAATGTTGGCATTTAAGTTTTCTAAATGCCATCACATCTGTGATAAGTAGACATCACATCTGACGATATAATTTGTAAACGTTTTCTTGGAATATTTATTGTTTATTTTAAATTTTCATTGAATCTTCTTTTTTCATTGTTTCATTTTTTTGCATCTGTTATTGTTATTATTTGTATTTTTTATTTTCATTGTTGTTTTACTTACCGCATGTCGGCATATTTGTTAATTTTGTTCATATTTGCACGTTTATTCCGTTCAACATCAACGAGTGTTCCATAATAACGATTAGGATTGGAATACTGCACAGGAAACACAACTGGTTCCATATAGGTTTCAGAGTTGAGCAAATTTTGTAGATTATCATAGGCTTTGCCACGATATGAGGGAACTGAAAAAAGTTTAAGAGAAAATAAAGAGAAACGTTACAAAGGGAATTCATAAAATAATTGGACGAAATTCAGAATATATTTATTACTACAACAAGCTATATGTTACCTCTTTGTGCTGGCACATAGTCATCTATATCCTGCAAATCAGTATACACAATTGAGGGATCCAATTCATCGGTCCACATACCATTTGGCACCCCAGCCAAATTCGAAGACTGCCCCATTGAGTTCATTGAACTGACTGATGGCACACTCGCTCCTGCGGGCAATGTGTTTAAATATGGATTGTTGTTGTTGTTGTTGTAGTAGTCAGTATTAATGTAGCCATTATCATAGCCTACACCATTATAGCCAATGCCAACACCATTGGCAACAGTACCAACACCGGCGCCATATAAATACTGTTGTGATGGTATGCCACGTTTATGCATCAACGGTGGCACATCATCCACATAAAAGTCGTCGTTATAGAATTGCGACTGTTGTTGTTGTTGTTGCTGTTGTTGCTGCTGCTGCTGCTGTTGTTGTTTTTGTAGCAATTGTTGTTGTTCGAGTTCACGCTGACTAGCAGCGGCAGCAGCTTCAACCGCAGCGGCAGTTAGACCGGCCGCAATGGCGGTATTAAAAAGGTCTTCATTTGGTGGCATTGAGATGGCAGCTGCAACTGGTGTTACCATCTCGGTTTCCATTGGCTGTGACTGTGGGAATTGTTGCTGGTGTTGCTGTAATGTTTGTGACATTGGTGCGTTGAATGATGCAGGCACTACTTCAGGGCTGGATTTTTTATCTAAAGCATTGTTAGGGGGCACATTATTCAGAGAGGAAATGGGACTTGGCATGCCATTGTATATTTGTTCCTTCATGCTTAGATTATTAGATGACCTCTTAACTATGAGGGAGCGTGCGTGTATTTAAAGGAATGTTGAGTAGAGCGTAGTGCACGGAACATGAAGTACGGAAGAATATAAGGCACATGAAAAGGAAATAAAAAATGAGCACAATTAAATTAATTTCTTTGTGTGAATGCGTTTAAGAAAAGAAAGTAACCAACATTCCGAAATTCCTCTACTGTTTTATTATAATTTGTAAACTTTTATTTTTGTTACATTTTTCTATTTGTTTTGTCTTCTTCTTTTTGTGGGAATTGGCATTAATGTATTAGACTGTGTGCTTTTGACTTTAAATTCTCTTAGAAGAAAGCTTAAAAATACACAAAAGGAACTTCAGAGGTTTGCTTTCTTCGGAATTCAGCAACAGATGCAGTGGCAGCGGCAACAACGGAGGAGAAAACTGTGAAAAATGTGGTGAAAGTAAAAGAACACAAAAGGAGAAGAACCTTAAATGAAAATAAAAATAATAATTAGCCATAGAAAGCCAAAAATATTAATAATAATTTATTTTACAAGAGCAGCGACCGTACATTGACTCTGAAACAACAAGTGAACTGGAGAAAGGCCAACAAGTCATTAAGTAGAATCCACATTTCTACCGAAAATACCAACGCACATGGACTGAGAAGCAAGCAATTATTTACACATCTTTTAATGATAAAAAAAAGTCCTGTAAGTGTAAAGATAAATATATTTAGCACTACTTGGAACATCTATTTTGAGTACCTTCGTATCTATTATTATTGCAAGGTACCCATGTGAATTAAAAAGAGAATACAAAGGAAGCAGTACTGCCGCCTGAAGATAAAAAAGGATATTATCAAGCGAACGAAAAAAAATTTAAACAGAAATTAAAGCATCTGTACTGTTTCTATAATAGTTAATGCTAATATTTTGTGCATCTCCCGTCGTTCCCTTCATTTATTTATTCCGAATTTTATTTATTACACTATCTACACAATTTATTCTTCCAAAAGCACTGTGTGAACATTTAGAAAATAACTTCAGGTATTCTATGGAATATTATACCCAATAAAATCCCTTGTAAAATACTCTTATACAAAAAAATTAAATTAAATTAAATTAAATTAAATTAAATTAAATTAAATTATTGAAACTTATTCAAATATCATTGAATAATGGATTCTTAATAATAATAATCCATGATTTGGCAAATCAGTCAAATCAGAAAAACACGAAGTAAGAGAAAAAATATCTAATGGAAAGTGATTCTTTTCTACTTGCCAAAATTGTAGCTGTCATAATCGACAAAGTAATGCCGGTGCGGTACAAACCAGGAAACCTGATTCAAGATAATCCATGACGTATCCTAGACATATACTTTAAAATCCTCGCAAATAATTCATTTACATTGAATAATTGAAAAAATTAAAGCAATCATTCGATTGGAATTTTTAATGTATAGAAAATCTAATATATATAATTCCAATTTCTTGTCAGGAGAATAGCTTGCAAAAGAAATCCTCCTCACATTCTTTGGTTACTTGAACTAAAAATACTACCTCTATTATGGGAAACTTGAAAATGTTTAAATCTTTTGATATTTAATAAAAAATAAATTGAATTTAAAAACAATAGCAAACAAAGACACAACTGACAGTCGCCAGGAATGGGCACTAGGCTGCTTCCTCCAGTGTGGCAGGCTCCTGCTTCATTTTTTCACTGATAGAAGTTGGAGTTTATAATAACATTAAGAGTTGTTGCGAAAACAGTACTTAGAAAAACAATAACAAAATTATCGGTTGAAACCTTGTTGCCCTATTTTTTCCTTGTAAATGCGTCATATATCCTTTTTCAACATCGTTGTCCTTATTGTAGTGAATTTCATGAACAAACTGAGTGAAAACAAAATGCGAACTCAGCAGGAAATCAATTTCCGTTTCCTATTTAATATTATTGTTGTACTTGCTAGCGTAGTTATTCTCACTTATTGCGTGTTGTTGTTGTAGTTATTGGCTTCGCAAAATTTGACACACAAGCATGAGGACTGTGAAAGAAAGGTGGCAACGCTGATAAAGTTACTATGTCTTGATATTCGATTGCTGCTGACATTCAACATTCGACTTTTGACTTTGGGACTGTGCTCTGTTGACTGTAGATTGATGTATCACAGTTTACACTTCTTCTTGTTTGGGGCTTCACGCTTCGAGCTCCCTTCCATTTACTTACATTCATTATGCAGCTAAAGACGAAATTCCTCAGCAATTTTTAGTGTTCATCAACGTTTCACCATGAAAATCTATTCTTCTCTTCACAAGAAAAGCACTGAGGCGCCCACCTTGCGAATATGCGTAACAAAAATGTTCTTTCTCTTAAGCGATTTGCATAATTTTCCTTTCTTTTTTTATTTTTTATTTTCCTTTTAATAATGAAATATTTTTTATTTTTATGTTGATGGGAAATCTAATTTTCAGGCCAATTGATTTTAAAATTTTGTATGGAATATTTTGCATAGATTTGGACATATTGACTGTGATAGTACTTGTAAATTGTTCGAATATATAAACATTTTAAGAATTAAATAAATAGATTCTATAACGTTACGAGTATATACATTTTACAGTACACCATTTCAATTATTTAGAGCGAAAATATCAAGTTCATTCGTATGGATTTGGGTATAGTAGGATCAAGTAGGACCAAAGTGCAAAGGTTTTTGGTAAGATACTCAAGAGATGTGATCGACTAAAAATCTTTCTTCATGTTATTCTCTGAAGTTGCTATTATTACTTTCTGGAAGACGTTTTGAATCGATTGTAGGCATGAAAGAAAATTCATTAGAGAATCTGAAATCTACTATACTTCTATCAGTCTATAAGTAATGTATGAAGAATTGTGGCAAGCACCGGAATAATTGTAGGTATTCCATTCAATGCAGTGTTCTTGAAAGCCGAGAGAATAAACGTTGATTAATTTTTTTTCGTTTTGTCTTTGCATATTTTATTTAATGATTTTGGATGCTATTCACAAAGAATGTACCTAAAGAATCGACATTTGAGCATTAGTGCCATTACCAAGGAACAACAAAAAATACAATTATGTTTACATGTATATAAATATTGTACAAGGTTGACTACAATAAGCTTTTCGATGTATGGGTACAGTTCAATAACTTGAGTACAAAAAATTTTAAGGTCTCAATTTCCTTCCGTCAACCAGTAAAACGAAGGAAACGGAATAAAACGGAATGAAACTAAATTTTTCATGAGCTATGTCACTTAGCAACCAGTGAGGACAAATAGATCGCATATAAAATTCAATAATACGATAAAATAAAATATAGTTTCACAACTGGTGCCAAAGTTGGAATAGATGGTTGAAAATGTGCTGCGATGGCATAGTGTTTATTCGCATAGTGAGACCAGTTATTTCGCTCTGTTACTATCTATCTACATCATTGATATAAAACTCTTATTTCGTCATTTCATATGTACATTCCTTGCCCGACTAAGTCTTTAGATACCTTAATTGATATTGCACCATCAGTTTATCATTTGTTCTCTAGAAGTGACATTATTCCTGAATTCAAAATGGCTGAATCGGATCAAAATTAGTAAACAATATTTGAGCTATTAAAATTCTTTTTTAATTTAAAAAATATTCAATTTCAATTATGACTTTGGTTCGGAGTGCAAATATCGAAGAAACTTAGATTAACTGAATGAGAAGACTATATTTATGGAACACAAATTACTTACGTTATGTTATCAATTTGAATATCATGATAACTTAATGAAAAACAAAAAGTCGAAAAAACCATTATCATCTGAAGATTCAGCTGAGTATATTGTCAACTCGAAGCATACGTATAAGTCCACATAATTCCAAACTTATGTGCTGGCCGCCTGCTCTAATAGTTCGCAGTTTAGGAAAAACTATCTGTAAAATATATATTTAAAAAATAAAACAATACTATATCCTTGTAGTCTAAATAACTGTTCTCTGTCTGTTTTTTGTAAAGTATTGTGATAAGTAATGCACAAGTAATAACTTAAAAAATGTAAATTTAAAATTCAGGGCGATATGCCTGTTGAGATATTAATAATCTCAACACAGATTCTAAATATCCTGCAGTTATGAACTTCCACTTAAGCATTTCTGATAGATTCTTTTATAGCTTGAATGAACTGCTTCGGTATATGTTAAGATATGATAAGACGGATAATTCAAATCCTGCTTGCTTCTCAACTAAGGTCTTGAAGCAATCGTTGACCAAAGAAACTACTGTCATACAGATTCCAATTTGAGGTAAACTTAAGCACAAGTACACGGATAGCAGGAAACACGCTATTAATTTTGAGTTCAGTACACAGCAGCATCTGTCAAAAAGTCAACATGACCCACTTGCACCACAAGCCACATAATTTATTCGAAATATATTGTGCACTTGTATTGCTCAGGACATACCGCCATGCGTGTGCTCGCTTGCTGTTCAGACATGTCCTTGCTGAATTTCTCCAGCGTCCATCGGCCACATTGTTACTTTTATTTACCATTTCTTCACTGCATCCAGAAATTTTTTATTAAGTTATTGTTTCGGCACTCCAAAGTATTTCCTGTTAAGGCATGTCTCTGTCAATATTTATGGAACGCAACATGCTAGTGTAAGCTGTACCCATATGGATAGATTGGTACAAGGAAGTGCCAGATTGTATTGCCCGCGTACGTCAATGAATTATTTAAGATCCTTTATTGTTGTATTATTATTTGTATTTACACTTGTCTGCCGCCGAGCAATGCCCGTGCAGTGAAAGGCGCAGCTGCAAGACTTTCACGCGTAGGTCTATTAAATTGAGTGATTTAATACAATTATTTATCAGTTTCCTTATGACGAATATGTAACGCATACACCATCGAAGCCAAGCACAGTTCAGAAGTTTTCGAGTTCATGTTTTCCGTATTTACTCGAACTTTTTCGGTCACATGAAAGAAGACCGAATAAATTTATTATAATTAGAAATGAATTGAATTCAA